AAGTTTTGTCTAAATTGGATCCCTGTTGTAAATTTGATTAGGAAAAAATTAATCTTAGGATGTAACTACTGCTGAAGAATGGACTTTTTTTTTTCAGGACACTTGTGGTTTTGAGAACATCCATATCTAAAAGACACTGTCCAAAAGGAAATACACAGAAGATGGTAATTTGTACTAGATTTTTTCCATACTTGCATGAGCTGAGATACAAGCCTTTAGAAGCAAGTGTTTTGTTAGAAAAAATCATGAGCAAATCAGGTTTCTATGTGTGTGCCTAGATAAAAAAGACCTTGGGAAAGTATACATTCATGTACAAATAAGGGCTGCTTCCTGATTCCCAGAAGTAACTATGGGATTTAAAAATCCTTGTCCACAGATCTGCATACCAGCTTGACAGACAGATTTTTTGGATTTCAAACACTCAGACTAGGCAAAATGTCCAAAAAGAGAAAATCAGTGGCATTTGAGATTTGGATAATCCCATTAACTAACCTGTTTTCCCAGCTGGGTATATTTTAGGTTGATTTAGGGAAAGAATAATAAGGTCCTTTCTCACTACACCTTCTGAAATACTTACAGAAGCTCACATCCATACATCTCCCAATCTTCCTCAGAGAAGATGGGGTATGAAGGGTGTATGATGGCAGACACCAGAAGTTCATTAATACAGGGAAAGTGCTGCTCTGAGGACTCTATTCCTTTAATGCAAAGCATTACTTTAATTAACTCACTTATGCCACTGTATTTTGCTACCAGTTACTTTCAGTAATAAAGCTAAATGCTCAATTTTTGTAGAACACAGGTAAAGTTGAAACTAAAGCTTGTCACAGATAAGCACAAGCTGAACACAGGTAAAGTTGAAACGAAATCATTCTGTGATTCTGTGATTCTGTCTTTTCATTTGAAATAGGAGGCACCTACAATACAGCTGCCAAGAAAGAAAGTTTACATTCGGGCCCTTCTTTAAAAAGGTTCAAGAGGACCTGGCTTATTCCAATCCCAGACAGTATATAGAGGAATATATCACATGCCCTTCATCCTAAGTCCCCTGAACCTAAGTCCCCCACTACTACCTCTAGCTTTGGATGGGTGTGCTGGAAGTTTCTTGCCTTATTGAACTCAGTGCAACTCTAAGTTTGTGCACACAGGGCACTTAGCTTATGTATGATACACTGAACTTGTAAGATGGGTGAGAGCACTTAGAGGGAAGTGACAGCATCCTTTTGTTATCCTTAATACTATTGCAGGTTTCTGAACCAACCTCGTATCTTCTCCTTGTGGCCAGGGTAATGGCTTGGTGTGAAGGCATCTCCAGGGGATTTTTGCCTCCCAGCTGCTTCTTCTGATACGTGAGGAGACGGCTCAGTTTCTGTGCTTGCCACAACTGCTTCCTCCCAGGTAAATTATATATTAAAACCACGTTCATAGATTATTCCACAGTGTGGCAAGCCTGTGGTCCATGTGGGTTGCTGGGATTTTTTTTTGGTTTTGTATTAGAAAACCATATGGGATTTCATGCAGCATGTCTTTCAGCCTTGCTTTCATAGCACCCTTTCTTCCTTCTTAACTCTGCGGTTAAAAATTCACTTTGGACTGATGCTTGGCACTTGAAAGCTCATCCTGAGGATTAATTTTTCTATACATGATTTTCAGAAAATCGATCATCAAAACAATGTGGCAGTGAACCTCTGAGATTTTTTTTCTGAAGTAAAATGCACACAATCTCACTGCCTGCATGCTTGGGGGCTGGTGGTGGTGAAGAAGGTGTGTAGCCACGTATGTGTGCCTGATAGCCCTGCTTTATTAAATGTTTAACTGATCAGGTTCAGGCAATTTGTCAGGACGGTATAGGCAAAGACCCTGAAAATAATGGCTTTCTACAGATATCATGAAAATAGGTGGCCAGCCAGAGGAGGCAGATCCTACAAATGTCCACCCTGCTCTGAGGTGGTCATACTACTGGTTAGACATGAGCGAGGCCATGCAGGTGTGCCTCCCCAAGGCAGCAATCCATAGGAGACTGGCCATTGTTGACTTTGGTGGTTATGGAGCTGCTTGGTTTTGATATCTGCTTTTTGGGAAGTCTGTAAGAGAATTGTGATGTCTTTCTCTCCCTTCTCTGAATAGACTGAAAGATCAGGGAGCAGGATTTTATATCTGGTCCTTTTGTAATAAAGACAGTTAAAGTCATATGCAACCGTGATGCTCATACTGGTATGTATATGACATTCCTGAAACATCTTTCCGAGCCCTTAAACAGATTTGTCATAGCAGTAATATCTATCTAGCTAGAGTATTTCTGGTTGCATCCGGTTGTATCCATTGTATTTCAGCTCCCAGTCGTTTGAGGGGACTGAACAACAGTAAACCATCAAGGTCTGGAAGTTTTTTACTTTTCTTTGTGGAATAAAGGTTTGGGTCAATTTGTTTTGGGGGAATGGTACAAATTTTGAATTAAAAAAAAGATTTCTTGCAGGCTTTGCAAACTCATCCTGCCCATTTCTCAGTGTTTTTGACATTAATTGGGAAAAGCGACCCTGTGTCTCTTACCAACTCAGTGGGTCTGGAGTTTCGCCGTCGTGTTTCTCCAAGAAGAGAAATACTGAAAGCAACCAATAAATACTTGCTTAAAATAGCGAGGTGGGTGTTATTGAAGGCAGGTGTAGGGCTCGCAGCCTGGACCCGGGGTGACCCGCGTTTCCCCCGCGGTGGAAGAGGGGTGTCCCGAAGAGGGGTGTCCCAAAGGGGGTGCCCCAAAGCTGCCGCCGGACGCCGAGACAGACAAGGGGCATCTCCGCTGCCCGGGGGGACTCCTCGGGGGGTCGTTCGGGGTCCTTGCGGGCTCACGCCCGTGTGAAGCCTTATCTCAGTTTCAGCAGTCCCCGGGGGCACTAAGGGGAAGCCGGCGAAGGCAGGGGGTGCCTTTCCTCGGGGCTGGACGTGGGCTGCAGCGAGGGGCCGGGGCCGGTGCCGGGCGGCGGCGCTCGGGGCCGGCGGTTTCCTGGGCGATGGGTGGGGAGAGGAGGGAGAGGAGGAGGAGGAGGAAGAGAAGGAGGAGGAGGAGGGGTCCCCGTGGCTTTATCTCCCACCGGGGCTCCGCCCGCCGCCGGTTGCCTCCCGTCGCCTCGCCGCTCCGCACCGCCGGGCGTCAGCGGCGGACACGGCAGCGCCCATGGGCTGCGGCAACTCCACGGCCGGCGGCGCGGGAGGCAGAGGTAGGGCGGCGGCGGCGGGCGATGCGGGGCCGGGCGGTGCGGGGCCGGGCGGGAGGGAGGGAGGAAGGGAGAGAGGGAGTGAGCATCCCCACGGGCAGCCCTGCCGAGGGGCGGCGGGGGTCACTCAGCCGCTCACCTCCGCTGGGGCTGCATCCCCCTTCCCTCGGTTTAGGGGATGCCCGCCCGAGCCGCCGGAGTCGCTGCCCGCGCTCCTGCAAGAGCATCTTCCTTTCCCGAGGCTGATCCGCTCGCCCAAGGGAAAGAGAAGGTGATGTGGCCCGCCGGGGGGGCACCGGAGGCTTTCCGGTGGCCGGGATGTCGTTGGGGTCGCCGCCTCCGACGGTAGCCCTCCTAGGCACGGGGAACCCAGGCCAGGAGCTGGACGTAAGGATCCTGCTGGGGATGTAAGTTCCATCCTCTTTGCTTCCCTATAAGGCCACGAATGCCACTTCTGAAATGAATTTGTGCCACTTCTGCTCCTCTGCTTGCCGGAGAAGTTGGAGGATATTCCAAGATCGAGGTTTCTTGCATGTTAATGTGTACCACTGGCTGGGGAGTCCAGCTGCCTCCCTTATTTGTTCATTGTTATTTTCAAAAGAGATAAGATCTGGGAAGATGATGCTGTTCGTGCGCTTCCTCCCCCCAGCCCCTGCAAAAAAAAAAAGGAAAGTATATGAAAATTGATTAAGTGGACTTTCACCATATAGTTACAATTGTGTGCATTTCTCAATCATTTTTCATCCTAACTGCACTTGGCAAACATTGCCACCTGTTTCAGTTCCTGTAGCAAGCCTTTCAGATGCACTTGTTAGCTTCATAACCTCTTGAAAATACACAGCAAAATGATAGCCAGACCAGTTAGAATTACTGGGTCTCCATCTCTTTCCATTTTCACTGGCTTTATCCAGAGCTTCGGTGGTGTGTCGGGTGGTGCCAGCACCAATTTGCAGAACTGAGCATATCTCTGAGTGTGAATGATGATGCCTTCTCCAAGCTGTACGTATGTGTCTGTGTTTGTGTGGTGTGTTGCTGGTTTCTCCCCTAATCCCTGCACTTTGCACTCTTGGAGGTAGAGGAGGCTTTTCTGCCATTACTGCTTACTTGATTTCTGCTAAATGATTATAAATGAGGTGTATATATCAAAGGCCTCTCATCCATAAAGAATGCACTGTATGAATTCCCTTGAGCTTCCAGCACTCTTGTTAGAACTGTCCTGTTTGCAGACATGAATTCTCTCCCATTAGTTGACTCCTGTGACAAAGTTGTGTCAGCGTATGACCAGCGTAGCTTCATGCTGCCGGGGTGATGATTGTTCACACAGCATTTCTATTTGCTGGGTAAAAGCACCAGAGCAAGCATCAGACAACTTCAGAGGAAAATTTTGAGCTGATTATTAGTCCCGTTGTGGTAGCTTCTTGGTTAATGTTGATCTGGCCACCCCATGGAACTTGTACCAGGAGACAAATGGATAATGTCCAGCACACTAGTTCTGACAGCAGGATTTAGTGAATTACGTTGAACTAGAAGTTGCGTAAATAAATGTGTCTACCGTTGCATTAAAGGCAGCTGTTTGCAACAGGCTCTGGCTTGTAGATTCAATTAGTTTTACTAAAGGTACGGCCTCTTCAATATTTAACTTAAGTGCCTTGTTATTCATCATACATTTGAACTTACATTTTGTGGCAGCCTTTTGCATGCTTTTTAGAATAGTCCACCGATCGCCAATGGTTTAGTGCAAGTAAAACCCAACAATGCCATGTAAAACACGTAATTATTATACCGTCGCCTCGCCGCTCCGCACCGCCGGGCGTCAGCGGCGGACACGGCAGCGCCCATGGGCTGCGGCAACTCCACGGCCGGCGGCGCGGGAGGCAGAGGTAGGGCGGCGGCGGCGGGCGATGCGGGGCCGGGCGGTGCGGGGCCGGGCGGGAGGGAGGGAGGAAGGGAGAGAGGGAGTGAGCATCCCCACGGGCAGCCCTGCCGAGGGGCGGCGGGGGTCACTCAGCCGCTCACCTCCGCTGGGGCTGCATCCCCCTTCCCTCGGTTTAGGGGATGCCCGCCCGAGCCGCCGGAGTCGCTGCCCGCGCTCCTGCAAGAGCATCTTCCTTTCCCGAGGCTGATCCGCTCGCCCAAGGGAAAGAGAAGGTGATGTGGCCCGCCGGGGGGGCACCGGAGGCTTTCCGGTGGCCGGGATGTCGTTGGGGTCGCCGCCTCCGACGGTAGCCCTCCTAGGCACGGGGAACCCAGGCCAGGAGCTGGACGTAAGGATCCTGCTGGGGATGTAAGTTCCATCCTCTTTGCTTCCCTATAAGGCCACGAATGCCACTTCTGAAATGAATTTGTGCCACTTCTGCTCCTCTGCTTGCCGGAGAAGTTGGAGGATATTCCAAGATCGAGGTTTCTTGCATGTTAATGTGTACCACTGGCTGGGGAGTCCAGCTGCCTCCCTTATTTGTTCATTGTTATTTTCAAAAGAGATAAGATCTGGGAAGATGATGCTGTTCGTGCGCTTCCTCCCCCCAGCCCCTGCAAAAAAAAAAAGGAAAGTATATGAAAATTGATTAAGTGGACTTTCACCATATAGTTACAATTGTGTGCATTTCTCAATCATTTTTCATCCTAACTGCACTTGGCAAACATTGCCACCTGTTTCAGTTCCTGTAGCAAGCCTTTCAGATGCACTTGTTAGCTTCATAACCTCTTGAAAATACACAGCAAAATGATAGCCAGACCAGTTAGAATTACTGGGTCTCCATCTCTTTCCATTTTCACTGGCTTTATCCAGAGCTTCGGTGGTGTGTCGGGTGGTGCCAGCACCAATTTGCAGAACTGAGCATATCTCTGAGTGTGAATGATGATGCCTTCTCCAAGCTGTACGTATGTGTCTGTGTTTGTGTGGTGTGTTGCTGGTTTCTCCCCTAATCCCTGCACTTTGCACTCTTGGAGGTAGAGGAGGCTTTTCTGCCATTACTGCTTACTTGATTTCTGCTAAATGATTATAAATGAGGTGTATATATCAAAGGCCTCTCATCCATAAAGAATGCACTGTATGAATTCCCTTGAGCTTCCAGCACTCTTGTTAGAACTGTCCTGTTTGCAGACATGAATTCTCTCCCATTAGTTGACTCCTGTGACAAAGTTGTGTCAGCGTATGACCAGCGTAGCTTCATGCTGCCGGGGTGATGATTGTTCACACAGCATTTCTATTTGCTGGGTAAAAGCACCAGAGCAAGCATCAGACAACTTCAGAGGAAAATTTTGAGCTGATTATTAGTCCCGTTGTGGTAGCTTCTTGGTTAATGTTGATCTGGCCACCCCATGGAACTTGTACCAGGAGACAAATGGATAATGTCCAGCACACTAGTTCTGACAGCAGGATTTAGTGAATTACGTTGAACTAGAAGTTGCGTAAATAAATGTGTCTACCGTTGCATTAAAGGCAGCTGTTTGCAACAGGCTCTGGCTTGTAGATTCAATTAGTTTTACTAAAGGTACGGCCTCTTCAATATTTAACTTAAGTGCCTTGTTATTCATCATACATTTGAACTTACATTTTGTGGCAGCCTTTTGCATGCTTTTTAGAATAGTCCACCGATCGCCAATGGTTTAGTGCAAGTAAAACCCAACAATGCCATGTAAAACACGTAATTATTATATTGGCATTATTACTGTTGCCCTGATAAAGCTTTCCAAAGCAAATACAGCTCTGAAAGGTCCAGTTCTCTTCTCACTTTCACTGCTGTCACTCAGGAATAACTCTATGCAATCTATGGTATAGTAATACCCAACTACTGGTAATAAAAGTAAGAAGTCAGATGCCTACTATTTAGTTTTTTCCATTTAGTACTATTTTACAAAGTGTGTCTAATAAAATTATTTGAAGTAGGGGAAGGAGAAGATATACCATTTAAAATCAGAATTCTAGAGCTCTTAAGGGAAGTGTAACTCTCAATATTTTCACAAAAGACGTGAATACTATGTAAATACAAATTAATTTTGTGGCTTGCACAGCATGACTACATCTTTAATGCTACAGTTATGACTATTCTACAGTCAGTAATGTCAAAGCTAGAGGTACATAACATATAATTAACCTGTAACACTCTCTGTCATATTATATGACTAAGGATAATATTGTAGCATACTTCACAGAATACATTAGACATGTTACACTAGTCCTCGTTTTCTTACTCTAGTAACATTTCTATTGTAGCCTAACTTGATTTTTCCTAGGCAGATGTATATGTAATGACAGTTCAGCTAATGATATTATCTGCTGTTGCATGGCTAGAATGACATCAGAGGAGCTGTCAGCCCCATGGTCTGCAAGATCTAAACTAATAGACATGATCTAGAATAACATTTCTGTCTGTAGTGCAGAACTCCAGAACACCAGTACGACTCACAGAGTTTAGATCTTCCTTCCAGAGCATCAGAAACTGGCAAAAGGCTCCTCAATTGAGAAATGGCAACTTCTGTGATCCAAGTAAACTGATGTATACACACCTTTCTTAAATCACCTAGATATATTATGTGTTAACTATGGACTATAATTATTTTTTAAATTTCTCATTACCCCTAGAAAACTTTATTAATAAATTGCTATTTTCCTCATGCTTTGTTACCTTGCTTTACATATCCATCTTTGATGTTATTTCCTGGTGTTTTAGAAGCTCTAAATAGCTTTTCTTTTTTGATCTTTTAAAAATATGCTCTTAAACGTTAATTTACTTTTTTTTTTTCCTGAGTTAAGGCATTTCCCTTCATTCTAGAGTAGTTAGAATTGTTACAATTTTTAGCTGCCTCCTCCTTTCTGTATCCATCGTAGTAGAAATGACAGCACCTCGAATTATGATACTCGATGGAGGCTGGCAGTCTAGCCTTAATTTCAATGTAGAGAGAAGCTGTTAGTCTGTGTGGAGCTTCAAATACAGTCAAATTATGATGCAGGAGAATTTTCACGTAAAGTTTAAACAGAATTATTAATTTCAAGTTTGGTGGAATGCCGAGGAAACCATCCTGCCATTCTATTTAAAATCCAACTAATTTTTAAAATTAATGCTCCATCGGGTCAAGTCTATGTACAGAACTGCCAACTGACAAGTTGAAGAAGTAATCAATTTGAAGTAAATTGATGTAATTCTGTCCTCAGTTACACCGGGGTATAAATAGAATAAATTCATTGGTGTTAGTACTTGGTTCCATATTGCTGTCTTTTGAAGCAAATCAGAAAGGAGCATAGAATAGAAAACTCATTCATAATCTTAACTGTTGCATGCATGTATGCATAATTTTGAAGTTTTTATTTACTTTTTTTTGGTAACAATTTGAAGTATTTGCAGGAAAATGTTGTAGGAAATTAATGGAAAAATGTTTCATAATCTGTCCTAACATCAGAGATTGGCATTGTTTGTATCCATGTTTTTATTCGTGTCAGTGGTTGCCTTTCATCCTTTTGTGTTTTTCTGAAGTTTTTGTCTTCCATGTTCAGTCAAGATGCATTTCTCAGCACAGAGGAATATTGGCTGTGGCTATCCATTTCTTTCAGCCATCTCTTCCGTTTGCCCTGCATTCACTGAAATCCTGCAGCGTTGCCATAAAAAAGCTGCTGTTGTTTTGAAAGTGCAAAACCCCCTCTCACTGAATGGAAGATGCTTTGGGATAGGTTTTTGTCCTTCTTCATTTGTGGCTGTTTAAATGCTATGGGGTTTTTTTGAGGGGTCACAGCTTCACTGCTCTAGATGAAATGCTTTTTCTTCACAATCACTTGGGCTGAGAGCGGTGTATGGCTGAATGGGTCTCATTTATTCTGCAGGCTCTACCCTTCCTTCTCCTCTTGCAGCTCTAAAATGCCAAAACGCACCCATGGTCCTAACTGTGTGGATTGGTGTGAGCAGCAATGTCGTTCAGGACAGCTCAGTACTGTCAATTTTTCTGCGGATGCAGCTTCCTGGCTACCCCTGTTGCTGAAGTTAGGCAGGTTTTGGAAAACCAAGCCAACATGAGCCTATCAGGAGTAGGGTTTTAGGGTCAAGTGCTGCCTTTTTTTAGGCCAGGCTGATAGAGTGGGAAAAAATGGACAAGCTCTCAAATATGTGATGCTTTTCTCAAGTCATGTATCTAAAACGTCATGGCTACAGGAGCATTAAGTCTTGCTGCTGCTGTGGAACAGCTATTCACTGTTTGTGAACCAGTAGTAAACAAGATTATTTGGCTGAACTTCTGGCAGGAGGAACTTGAGAAGCTGTAAAATAGTGTGTCGCTCACTAAACATGGAAGCGTTAGAGAAAAGTGTCAGTGAAGTAACAGGGGTGAGGGTGAATGGATTGGACTTTAAAAACAAACACTTCTATACAAACTGAGATGTTACTGGGTTCCTTGTGAAATAAAATCTGTGTATAAGGAGTATTCAGGCTCCCTAATGAAGAAAACCTTATGAGTTTTTGCATAGAGGTACTTGTGGGTCACCTAGCTGAAGTGATGTTCATTTGTAAGCTCAGAACTCTTCCAGGAAGAAAACTGTTTCGTGGACTGGAAATACTTTCAGATCTATATTCAGGTACTTTAGTGGTACTCCAGTGAATTTGGACCAAACTCTTGTTTCACTTTTGCTAGTGAAAATAAGAAATAACACCACTGAAATTGATGGAATCCCATCAGTGGAAGTGAGGATAACCTAGTTTTTGGGCTTATAAAAAAAACCAGAAAAAAACCTGCTTGTTTTTTATATGTATTTACTTATTATAAATAGTAAAAATGATCTCTTAAAAAAGTGAATTTGTTTTTACCATATTTAGTTCTCAGTAGTTTTATGTGAGGTGCATTTCATGAAGCCTGAGTTGATGGGTCTGAGAGACAGCTCCTGTCCCCAGAGTGTGAATGTATGTGTACCATAGCACACTGAAGACAACTATGGCATTGAACAGGGACGTGGCATTGAAGTGTGCCTGGTGACTGACTGGAACTGGAGTATCTCCACTGGGAGATGTAGCAGTGCTGTAGACCCACAGTTATTCTCACTCAGCTAAGGTTTCAGTTTGTGCATTAAACACTTTTTACTTCTGGAATGCTTCCTGCAAGGAAGGCATTAGCTTTTCAAATGAGAATCCAAAGTGCTGAGACCTCATCTCAAACTCAGAAAAGGCTCAGCAAAGGCCTCACGAAGGACCGTGAACCTTTTGGAGAAACTGAGTTTGTTTGTGGTCAGCCAAGGCTGAGAAAATGAGAAAGTCATGGGTTTGGTGCACAACAGACACAGCACAGGAATAGTTTCTTCTGGAAGAAGAAATAAATCCTGCTAGAAATGGAGCTAGGCTTTTCAAAACGTATGTTTTCTGAGGTGTTGCTGGTGCCTAGGCTCTGTCTAGATGTGTGGGGTGGTGCCGTGAAGGTACCCAGCTGAGCTGGCTCTGGATGAGGTAGCTCCTGGGTAGCAGAAAATGCCTCCCTCCATCAGCTGAGATCAAGTTTGCATGCAGCGCTGCAGTGCCAAACTCCCCTCTGGACACAATTAATTTGGGGGGTTTAAATGTAGTATAAATGAGTTATATGTAGTATATATGAGCCAAAAAGTCTCAGAAAGCTTCCAGGTAGAATAAAGTTTTAAAGCGAGGACCTGATCTTATTGTGCATTGAAGTACTCCCTCCAGCTTAATTAAGGGTTTCTGCTGATACACAGAGTTGTACTGAGATTTTGCTGACTCTGAAAGCAACAGTAACAGAACTAATGTGTATAGTCTATGTTGTTGCTGGGAAAAGGAGGGAGAGTCAAGTTATAGGAATCTGGATTGATATTATGTTCAAGATTTAGCTGTGAAGGGAGATGTTTCCTGCCATCCATTCAGGTAGACAGTGATGGAAGGCCTTCCAGGACTGTTTCTTCCTCTCTGCATTTAAAATAAGGATGCAGAAGGCATATTCTTATAAATCAGAGTGAAATGAAAGATGTTTTATATTTATGGATGTTTTTCAGGAAAATAAAGTTTTTCAAAAAATGAAGTGCCATGGCTGAAAAAAGCCCAACCCAACCTACCGAGAAACCCATAACATCTTTTGGATTGATAACTGTTGTTTCTTCAGCTCAGATACGCTCTTCCAGCTAAGTACTGAGAGGAAGAGGAAAAGGAGAAGTGAAAGGTTTTCCAATGTGTACCCTAGCTCGTGTAATTAATAGAAAGGATAATTTGCTGGTTACTCAGCTGAATGATATACCAGCAATAGCAGCATGGCATTAATAACTTGGGAGGAACAGGAAAGAGTTTGTACTTGAGTGAATGTTCCTCTCCCAGCAAGAAGCATCTGAGTCACCAAAAAAAAAAAAAAAAAAAAAAAAAAAAAAAAAAAAAAAAAAGTGAAGAAAGCATCATCAAGTACCTTCGCCTTTTCTGTGTCCATTGTCATCAAGTTCCTGCCCCATCTGGCAGTGGACCCACATTTGTACTAAGTTCCCTTTTGCTGATGATACACCTACAGAAGCCTTTCTTGTTGCCCTTCTAGTCTCAACTCCAGATAGGCTTTCCCTTTCCTCATAAAAAAAAAAAAAAAAAAAAAAAAAAAAAAAAAATCAATTGCTGAGATCAGGCAGCCAGGTGGTAGCTTTTGTCTTTTTGCCTTTTTGTTAAATAGCAAGATGAATTAAGGGGTCGTTGATCTCTTTAGATGTCTGGGGCTCTGGATGGATTCTATCCCAATATTTATATTAGTTCTGTCTAGTTGTTTTATAAAACTTTGTTTATCTGGCAGGAAGAATGGAGCAGCATTTTACACATGTAGTGCCAACAACTGAATCAAACGGCAAAATAAACAGGCATTCAGGAGTAACTGCTTGGTTAATTGTGGTGACTTTGTAGCAGAAAAAGCCAAGAGAAGACTGAGCAAAGTGAAGCATACAAAATTCATAAGGGTGAATTTTATCTTATGTTGCTCTCATCCTGAGTGACTGCACCCGGGCACTGGTCCACAGCAGCATCATTTTCACCCACAGAGAATCTTAAGGGGTAATATAGATAATCATTAGGGATAATAAACTAGACAATCATGAGAAACCTGTTCTCTGACAATAGAAAACTCCTGTTGCTCTTTCTGCATTGTTCAGGACAGAAAGGCAGAGAAGTGCTTACTGCAGTATCATTGGTTTAGAGGATTATGCCATTATCTTGTAAACATGCGCTTTTCTTTCATTCCAGGTGCCACAGGAACTACTAAAGATGTGTAAGTACTTACTCTACTCTTTCAAATATGTAACTGTGGACTTGAGTGCTACCAGTCTTATACTAGATTTAATCATACATGATTCATCTGGCTCCTAACATATAATCAACACCAGCAGATGTTTATTGTCTTTAGTGACAGCTTCCATCTCTACAAAACAACTTCATGTCTTGTTTACTTTTCTACGGATTCTTTCCTTTGTTGTTTCTCTAGTAGAAATGTCTTCTCTCGGCTTCTGTTGAGAAAGTTGTCTCCCAGATGTGGTCATGTTACTTCAGACTACTCTTCCCTGTCACGTACCAGTACACCTTTTTCCAAAGGCCATGCCATTGTATGAAGGGACCACGTAAATTTCCACCAAGCCCTCTGAGAGATTTAAAGAGCCACTGAGGCAGATTTCCCCTCTTTGCAGCAGGAGACCCAGTAACCTATCCAAACTTCCTTTTCAAAGTACCCACCTTCTCTAGATACTCTCCACATTGAAGATAGTATCTATCAGCTCCCCTGACGCTGGGTAGCAGAGGGCAGCCCTACCCATCCTGTTTTTCTCTAGACGTGGAAGGTCTGAACCTCTATTGTCCTGTTGCCTCTTGCTAACTTCTGGCTTTCAGAAAAGCAGCAGCAAAAGATACGCCTTTTTCAGCCCATTTTTCATTTACTGATGCAGAAATGTGCAGGAAGAGCTTTATTCAGCCATAAATTTAATTTCCTATCAAAGGAAACATTCAAGAGGTCCTCCCGAGGTCTTGGCTTCTTTTATTTCATATAATTGTTATTTGCCACTAGAGTTTGAGACTGAGGGGCCTGGGAAAGATTTTCATGTTATGCAATAGGAACATTCTTCAGTTTTATTTAGTTCATTTAGAGTAACTACTCTAATTAGATGGAGGAACCCTGGTGTAGAAATGAGGGCTGTCAAGTCGGATAAACAAGTGGAGAGAAGAGCTTAACAACAGGCTTATCCTTGCTATTACAGAGCACAGCTGAGAACTAACGACAGGTCTCTCCTGGCAGATGAATGCTGTTTCACAGGTACTCCTGGGATCGGAGTTACCCGTGTAGTCTGTTTTCTGGGTTTGTAGTGTCAGACAATAAACAAAGCAGAGAAGGCAAGCTTATGGGGAACCTCTTCTTGATACAGCCTGCAGCATTCATGTCCTCGGTGCTTTTATATATATAAAACCACTGTTTTTAATATATATTAGGGCCTTTTTTTGTTGTTCGATGTAGATACCTTAAGTCACTGACTTAAGACTGTATCTCTTTCTTTCCCCTTTGGTAGTTTTAAACTTTGAAATTGCGAGCACTGTTAACTTACTAATTTAGTAGGTGTGTTTATGTGCTTAAAGGTATGGACGGATATATGTAGGTCTGGATTTATGTGTGTGTAAGCATTTGTAGAGCCAGGCTTTAGGAGTTAAACTGGGAATATCCTACTTAGTGTTTGATCACTTCTGATGTTTCAAAAAAATATTGGGACAACTTAGAAAAAACTAATTACTAGTGCAGACTTCAACAAAGTGAAAGGGTCAATCCTGGGACTATTACTCATTCCGATAAGTATAGTGGAGCCAGCTGAACAACCTGTGTGAGTAATAGCATGGTTGAGCCTTCTCGTCAGACGTTAGAAACACAGATCTGCTAATGAGGAACGGCAGTGATGACCTGAAAAGTCCTAAATCAATCATCTAGTATTTAACAGCAGATTTTTAGGAAGGAAGTAAAATACCAGAAAAACTATTTGGAAATGATGGAAATTAACAGATTTATAGTAACTAACATTATAAATCCATGTAAGCTTTTATTTTACACATTTACACTTTTACCAGCTAAAGTTAAAAAAAATTCTCTTTAAAAAACCCAACTTGTTTTTGTGGTCAAATTTCAGTCATATTGATTCTGGTCTATAAAAGCATTTAGGTGTGTCCTTATTTCCAGCATGCTTTTTGATACAGAATCCAATTATTCTAACTCAAGAGATTTCTCATTTCTTGACTGTGACTCATTGCCAAGACACCAGTGCCTCCTGGAGTGAGCAGCTTGGTGGAAGGAGAGAGGGTTGGATCCTGCTCTGATTCTTCCTGGCTGACCATGGGGAAGCTCCTTTGCCCTTTGGGCCTTGAGTTTCCCAACCAGCAAGATAGGGATGATAACATCCATGATCTTCCTATGCAAAGTGCTGTGAGACTGAGGGCTGCGCAGGGACAAGAAGGACGTATGATTTGGGAACGTGATCTCTCTCTGTCTACTGCAACCCTCAAATCAAAAATGAATCTGTCGACCAGCTTCCGCCAGAGCTCCAGCCCCACTAATACAGAGAAGTACATCACGGCTAACTGGAGAAGCTTAGATGTAGGAGGGTTAGGCATATGCTAGAAAATGATGCAATGCCTGTGATATTCAGAGTGTGGCTAAGTTCAGAGGAAGATTAGTAACCATAGAAAGGAAAAAACCACAGCAGTTCAAGACTGTTTCAAAATATTGGGAAGAAATTAATCAAATACAAATCATAAGCCCTTACTTCCAAGAAACACCAAGAAACTGACTAGTCTGTCAGTGGTGCACAGTTTAGTGGGACAACCGAGCATGGCTAGAAAGGGTCTATATAATGCTTGGCATGAACAAAAGTCGTAAAAGCTGAGGTAAGAAAAATGTGGATGGAATAAATTAATGTGAATGCCTGTCATTTGATATTTAAAATATTATGAAAGATGGCAGCTTCTTTTACCATCAAATGGACATAGGACTGATGGATGTGAAAACCGACAGTTGAAACAAGTATATTTTTCAAACTTATGAGGGTGACAGGGAGCCTCTTGGGACTGACAAATCCTTACCAAAAGAAACATTTATTCTAGCTGAAAATAGAATGCTGTTATGTGCATTTGCTGTTAAATCCACCTCCTGGCTAAAGGACTCCACCTACACTACCTGCTGAAAAATGTGCTCTCGGTTCCTCTTCAGTAGATGTCAACAAGGTCTGAGGGAAGATGTAGCGACACGGCAGCATATCAGTGCAAAGTACATCGAACTGCTAAGTTCCTTTTGCCAGCTATTCCTGGTGCAGAAAAACTTATCCTAGCTTGCTCCTCTTGGAGGACTCTCCAAATGGTGATATTTAAAGATTGTTTTTTTTATGTTAGGTTCTTCATCCCTGACGTAAGAAGAAACTAAAGATGTGTTGGAAGGAGAGAGAAAGGGTGTGCTGGACTCCCGTATCCCCATATCCTCCCTGTGAGTCTGGGAGATGTGGCAATGGGAGCACTGCTGAAACCAAAGGAGCTTCTTTATATTCCCATTTCCGTGCGGTTGAGTGATGTCATTGTAGCTCTGCTCCTTGGAGCCACCCATGTTCACCCAGCCTGGGCACAGAAGCAGCACCTGATGCAGTGATTCAGCTGGCACCTGGATGTTTGAACAAGTGAAATTTGCTGGTACCTTTCAAAATGGGGCTTTATGCTATAGTGTGTGAAGGCAAGAGGTGTGTGAATATGCCTAACATCAACTGCAGCCACAATCCTCCCCATCCTGCTTAGAAAGGAGTCCCCACAAAGGGGCTGAAAACGGCCTCTTCCTTAAGTGCCATCACCAGAATTTTTCTTTTTCTTTTTTTTTTTGTGCCCCCCCCCATCTCATGCTTCCATGTTCTGCCTATTTCTGCTCCCCTCCTCTTTCCTAGCAGGACTACAACAGATTGCACCCCGTCATCAGCCAGCCAGCTGTGGCCTGTACAATCCCAGATCGTATTTGCTGTTGCACATTTAAAGGAAAAGGTACCACAAAATTAGACTTTGACTTGTACCTATTAAGAGGAAGGGAAGAAAGCAAAATGTTTTAAAAAAACTAGTCTGCTTAATCATAGAGCTGGATAATTTGTTTTGGTGAGAGTGACAGTAATGGCCCAGTGATGCCCCGTTACAAAACATTTCTAGAACAGAAGAAAATAGCCCTGTTGCCTAGTAGAGGTTGTTTTTTTCTTAAACATTGACATTAATTTCCTGTTGGACAATATTGATTATTATTCTTACAACTCCATTTCAGAGGCTTCGAGCTGTGCACAAAGTTGCCAGCACTTTTAAAGGATTCTTTTCTCTGGATAATGGTTAATCTAGATTATAGAAAATGTTTCCAGTTGTTTGAGAAAATCAATCCTGTGACACATTCAGTTGTTTCAACAGAAATGATTGTTTGTGATCTTTTGGCACCCAAAATCCCTTCCTTAAAAAAAATAATGACAACACTTTTTTTTTTTTTGCTAAAAATACAGGGCTTACTTCTACTCAGTGATATCTACAGGCTTAGCACTTTCTTCAGCTGGAATTGGCCCCCACTAGGACAGAGAAACTCCACAGTCCTCAAGGAAAGTTGTCTCTGCATTTTTCTGGCTGCGTGCGTGAGGACTGCAAGATCACTGAGGTTACATGGGGTCAGAGGAGATGGGAGATGCCTTCTGAGATGGCACTAGCTCCTCCAGGGAGGAGTGGCAGGAGGGCCAGAGAACGAGGAGTTTATTGCTCTGTCTCTCTTGGGTGATAAGATATAGGCAAAGAAAGGAGATGAGGAAGCTCACCCCACTCAATGCCTGAATATCACTTAGCAAAACTGCAGCATACTTAAATTTACCTCAACCCTAATAAAAGGACCTGTGTACCCTTATTACTCTTACTGTGGTGATGCAGAAAGGATAGTCTGTAATGTTCTGCCACGTAGAAAGAAGATGTGTAAGATAATTTCCAGTTTGTAGTAGTATTTTTAAGGCATTTGCTACCCTTCCAGGAGAGCGCTGACTGAGGTTTAAGGGGAGTTTCCTTGCATTTAAGGCTACATCTTGCTAGAAGCTCTCTGCATTTTGGGCCAAAATGCCATTGGCTTCAGGGGTCAGTAACAGCATACAGCCCTGATAATTAAACAGTAGGCACATCTACCTTGTAGAATAAATAAATTACAAGAAGAAATGTCATATATTATTGTTAAATATCATAGTTCAGAAATGCCTTTCAAGGCTGTAGAATGGATTTAGCCCTAACACTGGGTAAAGGCCAGCTCTCAGTTTTATTACCTAGGGAGCAGATCAGAAATTCATGGATCAGCTCATGATGGGCAGTATTGTTGCACTGCCCCCATAGTCAAATTGGTCCTTAAGGTGAGGATGTTGGGTGAGCAGCCTGTGCATGAGCATTTCCACAGCAGGACCCTCCTTGGGTTGTGATGCCCCCTTTGCTGTTGGCAGCCTTCCATGGGCACTTCTGTGGCCATGTCTCATAGCTTCCTGAGCAGCCAGGGTGCAGGACTCCTTCTCGGGCAGTTGTCACAGTTGCCCCACAGGGAAGGGATGAAGGATGTCGGTGGATTTAACAGCACTCAAATTACCTTGCCTCTATTTTTTTATTGCTAGGTTGGTAGGCTGCAGACCAAGCTGAAATGCAGCTGCTGCCCTGATCCATGCCCAGCCATGCCAACAGAGTTCAAAGTTCAAATATTTAATCAAAGGTGGGCGAGTTGTTTATGTGAAGACTGATGCTGGGGCACTGACTGCAGCGCAGGCCCTATACCCTCAAGGCGTAAAAATAAGATTTTTATCTTTTCCATACTACAGAATCACAGAATCGCCATGGTTGGAAGGGACCTCTGAGAAGATTGAGTCCAACCTTAAAAAAACCCCAACAAACAAACAACCCAAAATACAGAAAAACCAAACAACAACAAAAAAACCCACAAAACACAACACCCCACCACATGACACCCACCCACAAACCAATAGTATCAGGCACTAGAACATGCCCTGAAGAGCCACGTCTACACGTTTCTTAAATACCTCCAGGGATGGCAACTCCACCACCTCCCTGGGCAGGCTGTTCCAGTGCCTGACCACCCTCTCAGGAAAGTAATTCTTCCTCAGATCTAATCTAAACCTCCCCTGCCGCAACTTTAGACCATTTTCTCTGGTCCTGTCATTATTCACTTGGGAGAAGAGGCTCTGTAACATCTTTTGGCACAGCTGCTGTGAAAGCTTACCTGTCTTCATCCTCATTCCCATGCTAGCATGGATGCCCAGTACCTTCCAGTCCTCTTTTGGTGGAATAGCATCCCAGACTTGTTCCTGTTTATGTGCAGAGCCTTTATGTTTCTTGTTATGTGTGGAGCAGTGTGGGGACTCACTCAGGAAAAGCATTAATTTACCTGTTTCAGGCATCACTGGCAGGAGTCAAGAAAACTAAGACGCATCTATTCTCAATCCTTTTTTTCCTTCGGTCCATTAGATTGGAAAATCTAATTGGAAAAGGCAGTTTTTGTGCCCGTGTATTTTATTGAGTTGTGGATGACCTGAATTAAACTGGGACCAGTAATAATCCCCTTCTTCCCTTGCACCTGAATCTACCCAGATGGTGACGGGGTATCTGAAAGAAACAATGTGCTAATGTGCTTTATATCTTTTGATGTTACAGAGCAGAAGAATCCGTATCAGATGATGACAAAAGGAGGTAGGTGCTCTACTGGGACTGGATTTATTTACAATAGGCTTCAGTGAGCTCTGCTACCAGATGTACATCCCTCCTTTCCTCCTCTTAATTCCCACCAACGCTGCCAAAGCAGAGGAGAAAAAAAAAAAGGAAGAAAAAAAGAAAAGGGAGTTAGAAATCTCTTACAGAACCCAATATTGGTGAGTTCACCCACCCCTTTAGTCAGCTTGGGAGGAGGAACGTTGTGGCAAGAAGAGCACATTATCTGACAGCTGTAGGTGATGTGCATGGTAACGGCCAATGACCTCTGCCTTCACACCAGCCCAGAAGATGACATTAGCACTTGTGGAGATCTCCACTGGGCTGGAAATGGAAGGAAGTGTGACTTTATCATCAAACAAATCAGAAATCACCTCGGAGCCCTGAGGGCTGGAGGAGGTATTCTTAGTTTGGCACCAAAAGGGGCAGAGCAGGGTAATGGGAGTCTCTGCAAGTAGCTCCAGGCACAGCAGAGGCTCATAAGGACCCAGTTTTCACCTCCTTGCACCAGTCCCTGCTTTTCATACAGGCCTTGGAACCAGAAAATACACTCTGCAAGGCCATGAAGGGGGAGAGACTAACGGTTTTCTCCACGTGTGGCCCTAAACAGGGGGATGCAGGTCCTATCTATTAACAGAGGTCAAAGTGCTATTTAATTGGTGTGCATTGTTTGAAGTGAGGTGCTTCAGTGGTCCTAGTGTTGAACATTACTATCAGACTGGCTCTGTCCTCAGCTGGGTATATTTGGTGTCTAGAAGAAGCTGGGCCAGTGGTGTTTCTTGTCATAGCACAGTTGGGATTTAATGAAAAATATTAGGAACATGAGTAATAAACATCTCCTTTCGCAGGCTTGGGTCCCACTTAAGAGTTACAGATAGCCTCAGAGTTTTTGCACCATTTTAGCAAGCACCCAGCACATAAAACGCACTCTTCCCATAGCCATGGGAGAGGAGGTCTCCTCTGAGGATGCTTGTGCAGAGGTACCCTCCTCTCTGAGCATCCATGGTCTTTGTAATGCTGCTGCGTGATGTGGACGTTCTAGGGAGAAGTGACACAATTAAGCTCTGATGTTTCTCTAAATTGTTTCTTTAAATCAGGAACTATGGTGGCGTGTATGTTGGCCTGCCATCGGATGCAGCCGCCATGGTTTCCAGTCAGACGAAAGCTGCACCAAAAGGTATTGGAAGGTTGCATATTGCACTCCTCCTGCTTCCTCAGTTTAATTTTATCTACTAGGATGTATTTCCTTTAAAAATCAATTATTATTTCAGACAGACTGGCTAGCCTCGGAGCCTTTTAAGGCAGTGGGGCTATTTATAATCATTAACAAGATTGTTCCTGTATATTTAAATTTTAACACACTTACTTTTGCAGAAGGATCTTAGAGCAGATGCTGACAACGTGATACATTGTCTTCTGAACAGCTTCTCCATGCTCTGAGCTCTCTGCGAATTCAAAGAAAACAAAAGCCTGTTAGGACTAAGAGGTTGTGATAGATGCACTTGCAGAGCCTCAGTGCTATTTTTAGTTTTGAAGGTGTTTACTTGCATTGTGGTGAATTCCAGTAATAACAGTTAGTAAGTGCTTGCTTTCAGGTTTATTTCTGTTCTTGTATGAAACTCAGTGGAAACTGTTTATTTTCCATGTGATATTTTTGAACAGTGGAAAAAAAGCATTAAGTTTATAGGTACTTAATAAGCAATTCATAAACATATATTTATGAAATCATATAGTGTTGCTTGGATTTAATACAGCAAAAAAATACAACTGCTGTCACATATGTACAGCACAGAGTTTAGTCACCGTATGGTGCTTCCAAAATTTTCTGCAAAGAAAAAAAATCCAAAGAAAAATAACAACCAAAATAATAGTAGCTGGTTTTGGAACAATAGTACCTTTGTTGCATGGTTGTTTTTTTTTTAAACAGTGTTCTAAATTAGTGATATGTTATAAAGTTTTAACCATCTTTATCTTTTACTTTCTAATTAAGATTAGAAGGAAATAAACACATCAAGATGCAAAGAGATGGAGGTACAGTATGTCTTAATTAATGTTATGTGCTTGGCATGTATTCTTTGAACAGAAGCAAGGTGGCAATGCTCCCTGTGCTGCTCTCGGGTGGTCTGGGAATCACCGGGTTGTTTCTCCAGCTGCAGCATAATTCTTCTAGAGACTGGACCAGGGGCCAGCTCTCAGTGGTGCAGGCATAAATCAGAAAGTGGGTGAAGTCATCTTGGTGAGAAGTAAGGAGACTCTGTACTACTCTGTTTAGGAATGAATAAAAATCAAATGTCATTGGTTTTGTCTCCAACCACGCCACAACTAATGCTGCAGCAGTATTAAGACATCCCATGAGAGGTGATGTGCATAAACAGCATGTAGACCAGCATCTGTAGAGACAAAGATTTTTCCAGAAATGAGTAGTTTGCAATTAGAAAACATCCTCTCCATTTTGGGGAGGACCTTGAGGACCAAACTGAGGCACCCACTAAGTAACCAACTGGAACTTTCCTCTTGCTATGGGAGAATCTTTGTTCTCCACCAGCCAGAATAGGGCAGTGAAGATTTATAGTCCCTATTCCTGACTTAAGCGTTTCAACTAACTAATTAACTAAAAAAGTCCCTTCCAAGTTCACGTCTGAAGAAAAATAAAAGAAGCTAAGTTTCCATTCAGAATTTGAACTAAATAAATATGGACAACTTTTGAAAGGGAACTGTTTTGATGTCTAGCCAGTGGGGCGGGGGAAATTATAAAGCTACCAACAATTTCCATAGGAAGCAGAACCCTTTCCTAATTTAAGTGAAGAGCCAGAAACAGTTCTGTCTGGTCTTGCTGCTGGATGCAGGTGTAGTAGAGCAGAACACACATATCCTGATTATCTTTAATCATGTGAATGGTTAAAGCTCCATGGACCTTGCTAGGAGCACTCATATACAGGGAGACCTTCAGCTGGTCATCACACCTGACTTCAGTAACCTGGCTGAGGTGTCTAAGCTAGGAATTACCCTTGACCTGGAGAAGACTGAAGCACCTTCTTGAGGTTGCAGCTTTCCATCCGTGGTTGACGAAAAGAGCTTGGGTTAATTAGGTCCATGTCTAGGTGCTTTAGTTAAATGCCTGAAGTTGGGTAGAATCAATCCCTTGACATTTTTTGCTATTCAGAAGAGTTTAAAGTGCACTTAGCCTTCATTTGTGAAAGATCAGGGCTTGGCTGCTGACTCAGGCTAAAAAAGACTTACACAGATGAGCACCTTTAAATCTGCAACGGGTCCTGTGAGCTACAGATCTCTCAGCTTCTAATGACGACCTAATTCTCTGGTTTATGTATAGTGTTACTGTATTGCTTTACCACTCTATCTAAAGCTGTTTGTTCCTTTCTCTTTTTGAACAGTCTTCTACTAAGACCAGTTGCCAGTGCTTTAGAGAGAGCTGTCTTTGTGCTGAAGATTTTTATACTTACATAGCCTTCCGGAGAGCAAGAGAGATCAGAGCACCAAAAAAATCTGAACCGTTGCAAGTTCCAACTACGGGTAAAGCTTAAAGTACAGCGTTGAATCAGTTTCCTACGATGGTTGGTTGCATTGTGGAAACCTCCTGCTGTTCTCCAGTGACAAATGAAATCGGTGAACTCACAGTGGATGTTTCTGCACAAGAGCTAACTTTGATGATCTGCAACTTATTTCTCTGTGGCCATATTGCAGATTTCATCAGCTATCAGCTACGCTTCGTATATTTTCTCCAACAATTTTTGATAGATTTTATATAGAAAACCATTACTACTGTCCACTTAATAGTTCCTATGGTAGGTTCCTATAAATTAATTGTTAATTTACTTCAGAGTAATATATTTGACAAGTTTACATCTTTTTGGTAATATTGCAAATTTTAATATTTTTGCTGTGAAAACTTAAGAATAGGATGAAATGAGCATAAGACCATCGGGTTCTTTATAATTACTACCATCACTTTTATACAGTGAGACAAATATTAGTCTTTAATTTTCACCTTTTAAGAAGATATTGCTCAAGGAAACCTATTTAAATAAGAACAATGTACTTCAGCATAATATTTACATGTCTGTTTTTATTTTCTTCAGTTTTATCTCTTTTATAAAGCATTACATGGAAAAAAAATACTAATGAACCAAACTGTTATGTCATGTCTTCCGTTCTGTGTAATATTATAATGACATTTCCTTATGTAAGGATAAAGTGATAGTATTTTCAAGGACAGCGGGACTAAACTCCAGTGCTTCATCTTCCTGAGCTGTAGAGGATTTTTGATCACTATTAGAGTTTTATATCCCATCTCTAAGCATATCCAGTACGACAAACTGTAACAGAATGAGTGGTGTTACTATTTTAGCAAACTGTTGTATTAAATAATGGATGGGAGGTTTTAAAATTCATTAAGTTTATAGCAACTGTAGGTTTCCCACGGAACATAAAACAGATTGTACATTTCCATATGGCTGAACAAGTATTTAAATTATTAAAGCCTTTTGCATAATTCTTTAGTCAAACTTTTTTAGTAGGACATGATATGCCATACACTTTAAATAAACAAACCAAAAAAACCCAACCCACACCACAGTAACATGTTACTAGAGATTAATGACCACTTCTAAAATTAAAAGAAAAGAGCAAAACAGAAAACTTGCACATGAAGAAGTGAAATGCTGTAAACCGTGAAATTACTGCCTATTTCACTGATATCTATTAAGACCAATGGCTAACTATTGTTTATGATTTCCAGAAACTTGTAGCACTGTCTTTAAAATAGGCTTGTTAAAAGACGTATTTAAAAGTATTTCTTGCTTATCCTCTTTTAAGTATTTGTGACATTATTTACTACTGTCCTCTAGAAATCTGCCACTTGGGTTATCAACGATTTCAGGCTTCCAGCTTCTGAAGACAAATAGACATCTCATGCTTGACCCCTTCAACATTGAACTGAGATGAAATAATCTTGAAGATTAAGAGGTGGTATTAAAATATCTCACTATGAATGAATGTCTGTAGATATACATTGGCAGAGTCTTATTCTTGGATGGCAAGCTGATGAGAACTCAAATAACATTGGGTAATAAACATGCAGGTTTGCTTCCCACCTGCTTCCTCTGGCATAAGAGTGTAGCTTCCACATCACATGTTCCACAAATGGTCTGAAACAGTTTCCACAGCACTAGTTTACTCAGTACAAAGCAATTAGGCCCGTGCCTGATCTGATCACTATTGCCTTTCCCAAGGCAAAAAACCCACCAGTCATCCTAGGATACATCGTAGTTCGGCTAGTGCTTGAAAAGCCAGCAACAGATGCCACTTATCTCCCTGGTTATTTGTCCACTTCTATCCTTCAATTTCTGGGAAGAGTCATTAAAAAAGGTATACAGGGCTAGAGCAGAACATCACTTGTTCTGCTACTGACATATGTGGGCTGTGGAGAGAAAGAGGTGATCTTTATTGAATAGCTCCTAGCAGCTGGTGGTGGGACAGTTGCAAAGGGTACTCTTTCTTGTTTTACGTCATTACTTAATTTTTCCTGTGCAGATCTGCAGAGAAGTGTGGAGCACTTTGCAGAATTGGCCTCTTAATGAGTCATCCTCTGAATGTGTGGGAGGTATGGTGGTTTCTTAATATTTTTGTTCCTCTGCATCTTTTAATCTCAAAAGCTTACTGATCAACTGACAAATGTTTCAGTATCATGGACTGGAGCCTCTGCAATAGATACACATTCTATTATGCCGTGAGGGCCCGTACCCATCAAACTGAAAAGCAAGGGCCAAGCCCTTGTCTTAGGTTTGCAGACTCTTGCCTTTTATTTTCCCAAGGACCCAGAGATCTAGAAACTGTGTGACAGGACACTGTATTCCATGTTTGGCCAAATTCCACTTGGGAAACTGATTTTCTGCTCATCAAAATTCCTCTATTGTGAGCAGCATTTCTTAAGCCTTTGTTGATAAAAGAACATGACATTTCACAGAGAAATGAGTATATCTGCTTTTTCGAAACTTACAATCTATGGATATTTCTGTTAGGAAGAGGAACACAAAAGAAGCCCTATATGCCAGCTGCCAGCTGTGCATTTGATGGCATCCTTGAAGGATATTTAGGCACTCAAATGATGGTTCAATGTGAGAATTGAGAACAGAACACAAGGAGCCATTGAATGGCAGAGTTATTATTAAGGAATATACTTTGGTTTTGTTAAAACCTCTTGAATTACCATTTGTAAAGAAGAAACATTTAAATGTTGAGGCTGTAATACCATTTCCTTTGCAGTTGTCACTCTTTCTCCAGCCAGAGCTGAGAAGCCAGTGAAAATGGTTTAGCAAAGACAGTGGATTCAGGCTTTATAATCTCAGACACTCCAATTTGGTATTCTTTGACAGCCCAGAAATATTACACTTGAATTCACAAAACTCAGACAACTCAGTCTTGAGAAATCCTGAAGTTTCAAAGCATAACAATGAAACTACAGTTTGTGATCCAAATATCTTGTTGTATTGTGAATTTTCACCTAGTAGTACAAGGTATTTCACCTCAAAGACAGTGCATTTATTTTGCTTTCTTCTTAATGCAGAATCAGGAGCTTAGTTGTAAGGACCTGGTTTCTCAGTATCTGGGTAGTCCAGACAGACATACTGCTCATCTCATGTGTCCATCCACATTACAGTGTAGTTCAGAGGATGTGATATAGCTTTAAACCTTTGTGCCACTCAGGGGTTAAATCTGTCACTAAGGGGGTTGCAGAAGACCTAGTAAAGCCCAGTGTAAGCTCAGTTACTACTTTATTCACTAGAATTGAAATATTGAAATCCTCTCATAGCAAAGAGTCCACACAAGGCTGAAGCTGCAGAAAAACATAAAGGTGAAATTTGTCCCTAATGAACACAAAGGCAAAGTAATAAATTACTTGATGTCATCCTGCATGTCTAGCAGAGGAGTTTCTGCTGTATCGGACTATGGTTGAACTGGCATCACTAGTGTATTGTTCCTTGTCACCCACACAAGTCTAGTGATTCTCAATAATCATGCTTCCCAAGCACTCAGTGAGTCACTGCTGATCTGTTTTCTGCAAAGGAGACCGCTGTTTGGTTCCCATGGTGATCAGAAGTGACAATTATTACAGACTGCTACTACAGTTCCTCAGTTGCGAGTATCCACTAAAAGAAGCTCTTATCTGGTTATAGTTCCTTGGAGTTTTGCAGTACATCATCATCGCTTCCTATTGACAGCAATTTGAACACTTCAGGTGAATTGGCTTTGTGGAGAGCATACTGGAGGAGAGTGATTTGTGGAATATTTTTTGTTTTGCAATGTATTTAGAAAAAGACCAAGAAAATAACAGCTCTGGAAACTTTCCATACAGCGATGGCGTGCCAGTATTGCAGGAAATCTTTTGAGGCTGGGCTAAATGATTCAACTCTTGCATTAACAACAAACATGCACACAACTTAGATTTATCATAATAGGAGTGATTTCATTTTGCACGATCTGACAATTTTTACTGTAACCCTAGAGTTTTCAAACATAGGAGTATTTATCAGACAGCAGAAACCTGCTTGTGGGTGCTTAAAATGGCTGTCACCCATGTTGTGGGAACTTCTGTGTCATGAGCACTTATCTGGTCATTATTAAAATACCTATAGCTGAAGATAGGACCCAGCTTGTGAAACAGATCATTCCATGAAGTGCAGTGAAACTCTCATTAGCTTAACTGTAATGAGAAAAGGATTAGAAAGATACCATGGGATGGAGGCTGGATGAAAGGTATTTCATGTGCCAGAAAGGAGGAAATACGTAGGAGAATGAGGATTATAATATTATGCAGTGAGGACAGATGCAGAAGGAAGTTGTGAACAGAAAATGACGTAAAAAAGGAAATAGTTTAATTAAGTGTCTGCTCCATTTCTCTGTGATTCTAATCTCTTGAAAACAGAGCAAGAAGTAGACCGCTGCCAAATCTTTTTAAGACTGAAGAGAAATGGAATTTGGCTTATTGGTTCATTCCAACCCTCAGATGTCTGAGATTGGGAAACAACTCAATCTCGCTTTTATTTTGCTTAATGCCCAGTGTAATGAGCCCATGAACTTTTTATGTCCTTTTGGGTGTTACCAGGATATATAAATATCCTGCCTTCTCTTTCAGAATTTGTGTTGGTGTTCCTTTTGTTTATGTCTCTCTATAGAGTGAAACTTCTAATTACTTTGGAACTTTGCATCATACTTGAAAAGCAACGTAGTAGATGAGAAAATGCACAAGCTGTAAAAATCATTAACAGGCGTAATACAAGGAAAGATTATAGAATATGTGAAAAGGAAGACAGAGCTTAATCTGAAAAACAGAGTAGAGTTAGAATCAAAGCTTTGGTTTAATTACTCCATCTATTTTACATTTATCGTAACTAATAGATCACTGTACAAATGATTAGTTTGGACCATAGCACCCTTATTGGTACTCTGGGAATTAGCAATCACTTCCAGAGTTTTGTTTATGGTCTTTGATTCCTATGTTATAGGAGATAGCAGCAATGTGAAATACTAAATTCCACCGTTAGCCTTCATTGCCTACCTTTTATGTTGGCTGAGTCTCAGTGTTGTCTGCAGGATGGCTTCAGCTCCATAAAAGCTGAGCTCATTGGATTCTTACTGTGAGGCTGTGATTCAGAGCGACATGTTAATTGGAGGCAGGTCATATTCAATAACTGTTTTGTGGGGGATACCAGACTGTAGGAAAATGTTTAGACTGTTTATTGGAGTTGGGGAAGTATTCAAATTTTGGAGAGAGTCCACATTGCGTCACTACCAAACTCTACTTGACAGAATGCAAACATAACACCACATGCCTAAATAAATAAAATCAGGGAGGTAACGAACACTTTTCAGCTTATATCTTATTTATGGTTATGCATTACTGGACACTGACCTGTAACTTTGGGCTGTGAGACCTCAGATAGGTTTGTGTTACCCAAATAATACTGCTGTAAGAAAAAAACTTGGAAGGATTCCTGCTACCTGATTTGTCCATAGGAGCCTTACATGCTTTTGGGAAATCAACCAACAGATTTTCTTTAAAATTACAAGATTTGATTAGTTCTTAATGTATAAATAGTATCAACTTGAGCAAACTCCAAGTACCTGGTTATTATAACAATGTACTTCATCTTTGAAGTCTCGCAAGAAACCAGTTGCTTATTTCTTTTTCCTCTTCCAAATTGTGGGTTAGTTTAATAAATAGATGATTAAATTCTTTTACTGTTCTACCAAAGGAACTGCTTTGGATCATCAGATAAAAACAAAACATTTTTGGCAGGGAATTAATTTGTAATAAGGAAGCTGTGCCAGCCAGGGGAGATGGAGCTTCTATAAATTCCAAATTCTTTGTAATGGAATGAATAATTGTTGGAGAACTTACACAGCACTATTAAAGGGTCTTTGTTCTAGACAGCATTGCTTGTGTAAGCATTGCTTCTTGAAAAAAAACACAAGATATCCAGAGAAAGGAACCCTGAAAATCAGTGCTTGGAAAATAATTTTTTATTTCTGATAATAATTTACCAAAAGCAGCTTTATATTTTTCCCTTCAATTTTCAAGAGGAAGTCAAATTCTCGTCTGAACCAGCAGATCAAACAATTTACTTGTCCTTGCCTGCAAACAACTGCAGGCAAATCTCATTCAGAGGTACAGGAAAAAAGATAAAGGGTATTGACTAGCTCTTTCATAGGGACATACATGTTCATAGACTTGAAATTAACCTCAATCTTTAACAAATTAGGCTACCTTAGACCACATTTCATGTTTCCTCCTTTCAGGTATTTTTACTGAAACAAGATATTTTTCCTTCATTTTCTCCTGTTGGCTGAAATAATACCTGGCAAAATATTTATTCTGTATTTGTTGTAAGAATATGTACTTTGTACAGTTTTCAAAACTTCTTGTTCTATTTCTGATTTTTATCTCAAATACACTTTCTGGCATCAAACCCTCCCACAGGCTAGGTTTTACCCAGAGGGTTAGACTCACACCATTGCTGAGGTGGGCACTCCAAGTAGGTGCCACTGAAGATCAGTTATCCTGAATGCATTGCTACTCAGCTGGTTTTTTCATCTTCAGTTGAAACGTGGATAATATTGCCTGATTGTTCTCTAGGAGGAGTATTTACTGCACATGTGACTGTGTCATCTTGGGATTTCGACTGGCATGGTTGTAGGAGTCTTCCATTCCTCAGCGTAGGTTCTTGAAACCTCATTTTACCTCCTCCATGGCACCTCCTTCAGATATGTCTGTGGAGAAGCGGCTTTGTGCTACAAAGTTGGAAGGCACAAGCTGGTGTGAAAGTGTCTCCATTGCATTCCAGTTTGAGCAGCGATGTGCAAAACAAGAGTAAACGTTACTGGTAAATTAGTTGGAGAGATGACTTTGCAACATTGCACAGTCTCTATGGAGCAGCTTGAAATTTGCACAGTCTCTATGGAGTGGCTTGAAATGATGACAAAAGGAGCAAGATAATAAAGACTCAGGTCCTGCGATTCAATATCATAAATGCCTGTATTAGACACTACAAATTATAGTGGTATCCCCTGTACTGTCACTGTGGTTGCCAGAAAGCAGTTGTGGTCTGCAACACCTGCACACCTCCCTAGATAGTAAGGGAAATTACTTCCAGTTGGCAGAGGTTGACCATTTGGCCCATAGGTTTTCTTGCCTAGGTCATGGGGTGTAGCTGATGTGTACGGAGTGTAGCTCACCATAATCTGAAAACTCCCACTTCACAGCCTGCTGGTTTTGCCATGCAGCTCTGCAGTGCACCTTCATGGTGTCTACCACTGAAAATAGTCAAAGTGGTTTGAAGAACCAGATGGTAGACTGGTGGGGCAGAAGGACGCCTCTATGACATACTCTCTCTCTGTTGATCCCACTGTCATTTTGATGCTCTGGGTAAAGGTATGGTGGCTTGACACCCACTGAGGGATATATTATCAGTGACCATCCCCAAGCCAGATGTACCGTGCGATACCCACACCGTGACTGCAGACCAGTACAAACAACACTGCTGTGCTGGAGAGGCTGGCCTCGTCTTCGACTGGCTGAAGTCTTAAATAGTG